CAACGCCCCTCCCCGAACGGCCCTCCCCCAAAAGCCCTCCCCAAAGGCCTCCCCCGCCGCCGCGCCCAAGGCCGCCCCTGCCGCCGAGAGCACCCTGGCGGCCGCCTCCATCCAGCCATCCCCGGCGATCTTGGCCCCCGCTCCGCCCCCACCCGCCCTCCCCGCCACCGTCATCGGCAGCAACGCCACCTACGACACCATCACCGTCTTCTTCAGCGGCGAGAGCGAGGGCGTGCGCAGCTACAACCTGCTCTGCCTGCCCGAGGGCACCGAGGCCACCGCTTTCAACAACCAGGCCCCAGGTGAGCTTCCCCGCGTGTGGTGTGACCTGCTCTTGGACGCTGGGGTTTTTACCGGCTGCTGTTCCAGCCCCTGGCAGTCTGCCGTGCGCTACCAGTGCCACCAAGCATCGCAAGTATCTCAAATCTTCCTCCCCTCCCCACTAAAACACATAGGCTCCGTGGTCGTTCCCGCCGACTCCACCGAGGCCACCGTGAAGAAGGTCGAGGCCGGCAAGTACACCTGCACCCTCACCACTATCTCCACTGCCAACGACATTGCCCAGACCAGCCTGAACGTCGAGGTCCCCGCCGCCCCCATCGAGCTCGTGCCGGCGACCATCATCGGCACCAACGCCTCCTACGACTCCATCACCGTCTTCTTCAACGGCCAGCCCGAGGGAGTGCGCAGCTTCAACCTGCTGTGCCTGCCCAAGGGCACCGAGACACCCGCCTTCAACAACCAGGCTGACGGTAAGTTTTTGTGACGGGTGCTGATGTTGGCAGGGGACTGATTGCGAGACTTGCTGTGGATGGCCTCCTGGGCTGCATGGACGGCCACACCTGCACCCTTCGCCAGAGGCTTGCCACCCGGGCCTGGGACCACACGCTTCTCCACCCTTCCCTTGTCCTGACCAGCAACCAGTACTCTCCACTCAACCCCCTCCCTCTCTCTCCCCCCACCCACACAGGCTCCGTGGTCGTCCCCGCCGGGTCCAGCGAGGCCACCGTGAAGGACCTGGAGGCCGGCGTCTACACCTGCACCGTCACCGTCATCTCCACCGACAGCCAGATCGCGCAGCAGAGCACCGACGTGACGGTCCCGCGCCGCCCCGTGGCCGTGGCCGCGCCCGAGATCACCGCCGTGGATGCCACCTCCGACTCCGTCACCGTGCGCTTCTCCGGCGCCAAGGCCGACGTGGCCAACCACAACCTGGCCTGCGCGTCCGTGGAGGCGGTGGCCGCCTTCTCCGCCTCGCCCTTCAACAACCTGGCCCCCGGCTCCGTAGTGGTCCCCGCTGACGCCACCGAGGCCACCGTCACCGGCCTGGCCCCTGGCACCTACAACTGCACCCTCACCTCCATCTCCACCGACGACCTCATCTCCCAGTCCAGCACCGAGGCGGTGGTCAAGCCCGCGCCCCCCACCCCCGCCAGCATCACCGGCAGCGAGGCCACCTACGACGCCGCCACGATCTTCCTGGCCTCCGCGGGCGAGGGCGTGAAGGAGAACCGCGTGTCCTGCACCACCAAGGCCGGCCCGCCCTCCGCCACCGTCACTGTGGAGCCCAGCGTGGGCAGCGTGGAGATCAAGGACCTGGCCGCGGGCGACTACAACTGCACCGTCACCACCGTGGGCGTCAATGGGCTCACCTCCGCCTCCTCCACCACCCTGACCATCAGCCCCAGGCCCGAGCCGCCTGCGGCGCCCTCCATCATTGGCGCTGCAGCCACGCCCGAGGGCGAGATCACCGTCTACTTCACCGGCCCCGCCAAGGGCGCCTCTGGCTTCTCCCTGGACTGCAGCCCCGAGGAGGCCGCGGACAAAGACCCCCTGGCCGTCAAGCTGAGCGCCAGCGCAGGCAACGGCACGCTCACCGGCGCCACCCCCGGCCCCTACAACTGCTCCGTCACCACGCTCGGCGCCGTCAGCGGCGGCGGCTCAGCCTCCGTCCGCGTCACCGTGCCCGAGGCCGAGCCTGAGGCGGCGCTCACCCCCGCCGGCAAGAAGGCCAACCCAGTCAAGGACGGCGCAAAGGCCGCCGCGGCACCCGCAGCCGAGGTGCCCGCGGCCGCCAAGCCCGTGGCCTCCCCCAAGGTCGCCGCCTCCCCCAGCCCCAAGGCCGCCGCCTCCCCCAGCCCCAAGGCCGCCTCCCCCAGCCCCAAGGCCGCCTCCCCCAGCCCCAAGGCGTCCCCCAGCCCCATCCTGGCTCCAGTGGCCACCCCCTCCCCCTCTCCGCTGCAAGCGCCCGTCAGCACGACGGCGGAGGCGCCTGCCTCCGGCGCGGCCGCCACCTCGGCCGCGCTTGCCGCGGCCACCACCGCCCTTGCTGCGGTGCTCCTGCTCGTGGTGTGATGTGCCGACCCACCCTGGTTCCGTACACCCCTGTTTGCCCACCGTTGCAATCGTGCCCCCCTGCCCCAACCCCCTCCTTTGATTAAACCACTGTTTGATTCCCATTCTGATCCAGCACTCAATGCCCGCTTCGTCTGTAACGCCGCAGTGCTGCCCAAACATTGCGACACTATTCTGAAAGGGTGCTGCATGCTTTGCAAACGCAGAACCTGATGGCTTCCCAATCGGGTTTCAGTCTGGACCTGTCAGCTCCTTGCCTCTGTGCAGAGTCTCGCTGAAAAGATGATGCCAACAGGTATTGACCCCGTCTTTGGTCGTCTGGACCAGCAGGGCCTCTGTGGCCATAATAATTACATGGTGTTCATTACACGGATTACAGTAGTATCCGGCCTGGTTTGGGGAGACTGAGCAACATGAGAATCAATATCTGAATGCAGCAATACCACCATGCTGAGGTACCGACAGGATTCCATCCCAATGGAGCATGCCCTAGAACAAAGCCTGGAGGAGGGGGTAGGAGGGTGTGAAGGGCCTGGGTCCCCTTGGAGAGGCGAGGTTGGATCGCGTCCGGGAAGGAGAGGTGGGGGGTGATGAGGTATCCCAAGTAGGTGAATGCAACGCAGGCCACTCAAGCGCTGTTGGCAGTTCTGTAGTGGGGCCTGGCGAGACCCCACAACGTGGAATGCCGCATCCGATCCAAGTTTGGAATGTTACATCCAAGCACCCGAATGCAGTGTGGGAATTGGGTTGCATAGAATGCGCCGGGGGGCGTGGGCTGGGCAGTGCAAGGGTACAAGTGGAAGGGTGGAACGGTGACCCGTCGGGGTACCACCACCAGGACAGGGGCCGACTCTGCTTGAGGCTGACCCGTCGGTCTCATCATTCCTCCCTGGATGCCACCAACACAACCAAGCAGATGAAAAGGGACATGGATCAGTTTCAGATGAGCAAACATGTAAAATAGACAAGAGGCAGACCTGCCCAAGATTGCATGAATGTGAAGCCTGGCAGGCCCCCGGGGGATCATCCTGACCCACGGCTTTGAGGGAAGAGCACCATCTGCGGGTGCTGGCCGACCGTGTGTGAGACGGCCTGCAGGACTGTATGGCCCTTTACTGAAAACCATCCCTGCAACCAGACCTGCTGGACTATGCCGCTACATTCAGACATATAGCTCAGTGACGAGTGTGTCGACAGGCCCGCGATATCCTGCATCAAATATCATGTAGTGTCCTTGCTCGCTGTGGCAACAAGGGACATTTTCATGGTGCAGTCCAGGTTGTTGACCACTACCGGTGCCGTTCAGTCCGGGAGGGCATCCAGCAGGCCCTGAAATCTGGCCTCCAGGTCTGCGCGCTCCTGGTCTCCCAGGAAGGCCGCGCGTGTCGCGTCGAGCATCAGGCCCTTGACCTGCCTCCGACTGAGACCGAAGCCTGCCATGGCCAGAGCCACCTCCCGGCTGAGGCTCGTCCTGAACACGGCCCAGTCGTCGGTGCAGAGGGCTATGGGGTGGCTGGCACGGTGCAGCGAGCCAAAGTGGTGATCTGCCACGCTGGGCACGCTGCGGGTCACGACGTTGCTGGTGAGGCACAGCTCCAGGGGAATGTGGGACCTGAGTTTTGTGTTGGTTTGGCGGGCAGGCAGGGCATGGGGTTGGCGGGCTGGAGAAGGGAAGCGCTCCGCCGCAGGATCACAGCCTCTGCAACTCGAGCCCGGGGTTTACACATGAAACCAGGCGCAGCCCCCTGCCCCTCACGAGCCCATGGACCCATGCCATCCTCACCTGACCAGCAGGCCCTCCAGCTCAGCGTCCAGGCAGCACATGTGCCCCAGGCGGTCTGGTGTCCATTCCAGCATGGCCCGAGTCTCCTCTGGGTTCCACACCTGGGAGGCTTGGGGGTTTGAATTCATGAGGAGGGACCGCAGGGCCGATGGGCGGGCCATGCACATTCCTCGGCGCCCTGGCGAGTGGAAACCTCCAGCAACGCCCACCCCGCCGGCCACCCTGCCCCCCCCCACCTCGGCGGCGTGCAGGGTGACCCTGAGGCCAGCGCGGCGGGCTGCATCAAGCGCTGGGGACCAGGCCTCCCACCGGCCCAGGCTGGGGTTGCCGCTCAGGTCGATGCCTACCACCGGGTGACCCTCCCGCCGCAGGCGAATCGCGAGGTCCACAACTCGCGCGGCGGACGCCGCGCCATGCCGCCTGTCGATGCTCAGGATCAGGCTTGCCTGCAGGGCAGAGGAGGGGTCGCCCTCAACAGCGCCACTGGCGTTGCCCAGATCCCCTCGATACCGCGCCATGCCTTCCAGCACAGCCCGAGTATATGACTCCATGCCCATGCCAGCCTCAGGCCTGTCCTGCAGATGACAGAGAGTGGAACTTCTGATAGAGCATGATTCCCCCAAACCTGTCAGGAAGGACCCTCGACTTTAAACTTTGCAAATCGACATCCCTGCCATTGCCTTGTGCTGGAGGGGCCCCAAAGGGTCCCCAAGAAGCCCACTGACCTACAATTGTGCGCTGGGCCTTGCCTGTCTCATCACCCTTTCCAAAATCTTTCCCAAGCAGCTGGCATGAATGCAAGGCCGCAACTCCCCAGTACAACTAAGGCTTTTAAAGCAGTTCAGACACCTCCTCACCTTGGGGGAGGTCCTCAGCTCAATGTACACGATGCCATCCATGGCAGCGTCCTCCAGAGCCTCCCGCGCAATACGTGCCATGGCCTCGTGCGACCCAGTCAGCGCATGTATGGCATCAAACTGGGCAAAGCAGGCCTCCAGGGGGGGTGGACCCCCCCCTTGTGAGGGAAGGGGCGGTGGGTGTCCGTGCGAGTGGGGGCGCAGAGAGTGCACCTGTAAGGCCACATTGTCCAAGTGCAACACCCGCAAGGTACATTCAGTACCCACCGCCCTCTGGGGACAGGACATCAAATGCCGGGGTGTAGGGAACTCCGCTTGTGGTGGCAAGCTCCCTGGGATGAAAATTTTGAGCGAGATGTGATTTTATCCTTGCGCCAGCCCTGAAGGAATGTCTGCTGCGCAGTCACACTAATAACCATGCCCACCTCAGCGTGCTATCCCTGGCGCATCCGTTCAAATGGGCGTGCAGCTCCACCTTTGGCAGTCTCCTGCACCAGTCCCAGTCATCCTGGGAGATGCCGGGGGGCTTCGCCATTCTTGCCCGGCCACCAGCTGGAATACGGACCAAGTTACCGAGCTAGTCGGCATCCAGTGGCATACCTCTTGCTTGACATAACATTAATTATGACGTGATACTTGGTTATAATGACATATGCGCGCTGAAGGACGTAAGACTTGACTGCGGTGTAAAAGGTCCAGATCTCGAGCGCCAGATCTCAACTTGTGATCTGATCACTTGTAGTCTCTTGTGCGCGCTTGTGCGACTTACCTTCGATTCAATGCTCGGAATTTTTCGGGTCGCCAGTTTCACCTCGAACTTATTTCTGCCAATCATCGCGCTGATGCATGCCTGATCATGGCGCAGAGCCAGCTGGTCGTGGACCAGATGCTGGGGCACCAGTTTCGGGAGCTGGAGCCGGCTCAAGTCCGCTGGTATTCCCATCGCGCCGACTACAGCCCCAGCAGTGAGTGCAAGAGGTTATAGTTTGGGTTCGTCTCAGTACATGTAAGCATCGCTGACCTGCTTCCCACCATGTGCAGGCCTGGCCAGCAACCCCGAGGTCGTGCACCGCGGCAGCGTGCTCCGGTACAACGATCTGGACTCCCTGGCTCTCGAGCGAGCGTACAGGTTCGTGTGCGACGTGCTGAATGGGGAGTACTTGTACCTGTCAAGTACTGCGTGGTCATCAGCGTGCTATGCTTGTTGCCACCCCTCCTTAGGGCACATGCTGAGGCCCTGGACCGGGCTTGGTGGGAGGAGGAGGCAGCCCTGCAAAAGGGCGACAAGGACTCTGGCATCGCCACAGAGCAGGACTGGAAGGCGAGGCGGTGATGCTGCGCGCCAAGCAATGCTGTGACTTGCAGAGAGTCCTGGACATACACATCTACTGGCTCTGCTCGTGTCTTCTCTCACCATACTTGTTACCAACTTCCCACACAGGCATACCTGGATGAGCAGGGCGTCTGGGCGGGGGACCAGCTGACCCCCGTCCTTGTGAGGGGAGGCCTGTCGGAGGTCCACCTCCCCACCCGCCTCCAGTCGTCTTCCTACTTTCCCGCGCCACGCCATCGAGTGCTGCGCGGCACCTGGTTTGCGGAGAAGGCGCCGGGCGACTGGGTGCCACTCAAGGTTTGGGGGGCTGGCGGGCTCTTGAATCCTTCCCGAGGCTTGGATGAGGCCTGAGGGAATGGGCGAAAGCCCTCCTGAAGTCACCATGGTGCCCCCCCCCCTCAAGCCACTGCATGATCATCACGAGACGCACCCTCGCAGGAATCGCTGGCGGAGCAGCTGGAGGAGGGGTACCGCCAGCAGCTCTGGCTGCCCGGACGCATGAGCGGGAAGCCCGGGTCCTCACCGGTCCCCGTCAGCGGCGGCCGTCCCACCCGGGCTGGTGCAGCAGAGGAGACTCTGAAGGGTGGGTGGCCTCGCGCTCTGGGCCTGGCTGGTGCCCCAGCCGCGAGCCGTGGGTGGGAAGGACCCCCCTTGACGCAAGTAAGGCACTCGTCGTCGCCATCACACCTGCGCGCAGGTGGGAAGCTGGAACTCAACACCCGCGTGGACAGGGGGCTCCATGCCCTGTACGCCGCCCCGGGGGAGATGTACCTGTGCCCCTCCGGCACCATGGCCTGGATCACCAAGAGGCTGGGCAGCGAAGGGCGCATGCGGCTCAGGCGCGGCTACGTGCCCCCCACCCAGGCCAGGGTGAGGGTGGCGGCAAGGAGGGGGCCGGGCCCGTGGGTGGCGCAGCAGTCCAGCAGCCATGCAGTCGGCGGGCTGACTCCCATGCGCACCCTGCCCGCCAGTGCCCTGGGGTAGGGTCTGCTCCCTGATCTCCCAGGCTCCTCGCCTGCCGAGGCCGACCCTCATCCCCTCCCGGCACAAAATCAGGGCATCTTGGAAAAGGAGGCGGACCTTAAGGCGGAGGCAGCGGACGCGGCCGCCTCATCCACCCCTGTCTCTCACCTCATCCTGGCGGTGCACGGGATCGGCCAGACCCTCTCCTCCGCCAGCATCTCGACGGTGGGTGGGAGCCCTGTCTGGAGGCTGGGTGGGAGTGGGTGTCACTCGGCGTCGAGTGGCCACTCCATCGCCCGGACCCTGTCGTACTTGCAGACACCCCAGCGCCCCATCATCATCCCTCTGTTTCACAGGACACCTCCACCTTCCGGAGCATCGTGCGGGAGGCTGAGGCGGACCTCTACCCCGTGGGCGTCGCGGGGCGCGTGGAGGTCCTGCCGGTGCAGTGGCGACGCATCCTGGACCTGCGCGTCGATGAGGTGGCCAGGGGACTCATTCCCCCCGGTCTTGCCGCCCTGCGCCAGGTGGGCAGGCAGGAAGGAGGAAGGGGGGCCAGGAGGAGGCGCTTGAGTGGGAGGGTTTGTCGGGAAGCGACCCATCTATGGTGCGATGGCCGTGCCTCCTTCTGTTGAGCTGGGACCGAGGGCGGGCAGGCAGGACATAGGGGCCCCTGTGGTCAAGCAGCCTGTTGCCGGCCAGCCATTTCAGCACGATCCAGGAGAAAAGCAACCCCCGGGCTGTCGGTTGCCATCCTGGCATGACAGGCCCATCGCCCGCCCCGCGTTCCTCGCCCAGGTGCTTCACGCCACAGTGGTGGAGGTCCTCCTCTTTCTGACACCAGGATACCGGGATCAGATGGTGGCAGCCCTCGTCCGCGCCCTCAACGCCCAGATCACCCGCTTTCGAGACCGCAACCCGGGCTTCAAGGTGAGGTGACTGTGGGGAGGCACTGTGGCTGTGGGGTTTTGTGGGTGCTGAAAGGCCTGTGTGGCGCCAGACGGGGCCATGCATGCGCCGCCAGTGACCTCAACATCTGCCTGTGCCTTGCAGGGCAAGGTGTCCATCATGGCACACTCCCTGGGCAGCGTACTCTCCTACGATGTCCTTTGCAACCAAGCGGCGGCCGCAGGAGCCCCCGGGCCAGAATCGTACCTGCTGACTCCTCCCAGCCCCACCACAGAGATTGAAGAGTGCGTCGGGTGCTCGACACGGCACCGTATGCAATGGGTTGTCTGCAGACTTGCAGAGATCTTCAATCGCCTCTCGCCATCCCACGACAGTGGGTGGGCCATCCAGCAGCAGCCCACTTCCCACCACCACAGGCTGCGCAAAGAGGTGGCGCGCCTGCACGCCCTGCTCTCCAAGCAGCACCAGCAGGGCTCAGACGGCGCCGGCACGGCAGTGGCGGTCCCGGCCCTCCTATTCGACGTCGACTGCCTTATCCTCTTGGGTGGGCGAGGGGGTCTCTCGGTCTTCGGTTTGGTGGGGAGAGCGACTCGCGCCCTCACGGAGTTCCCTGCACTGCGCCTCCTTGCCCCACGATCGCACGTCCCATGACACACGCGTTGCTCCCTACCCCCCCCACACACAGGCTCCCCGCTCCCCGTCTTCCTGGCCATGCGTGGCATAAACCCCGAGGAGGGGCGGGGCCTGGGCTCCCTGGCTGCCGGGGACATCCAGTGCTCGGCCCCCGGGCAGCCACACACATGGGACGGCTTGCCCAGGGCCCGGCGCTTGTTTAACTTATACCACCCCTACGACCCCGTGGGCCACAGGTGACGACGAGCACTTGTATCCTTGTGGATGATGGCAAAGCGTGACCAGGAGAAGGGGAATAAGTGGCCCGCATCGGGCCCTCATGAGCCGGCCGAGCAGGAAGCTGATGATTCTCTGATCTGTGGTGTGATCTGGACCCTTCAAATGTTGAACCCGTCCACCCCTTGCCAACCAACCACCATTGCCTCTTCTTCAGGCTGGAACCGCTGGCATTTGGGCTGGAGGGCGCGCCGGGCCGAGCCCTGTACGTGCCGCTCTTCCGAGGGAGCAAGCGGCTGCACATCGGCATCCAGGAGTTTGGGGAGGACATGAGCTCTGCTGCCTCACGCCTAGGTGCTTCCTTGCTTTCCAGCCTGAGCTTCGGGGGTGGGCGGGGCCCCGGCCCCATGCCGGCCTCGGCCGGCATGGGCAGGGAGGGCTCCGGCGCCTCGCTGGCGCTGCTGGACCGCGCGGCCAGCCCCGACGGCGGCGCGGGCGAACTGGAAGCCATCGACTCGGAACCGAGCCTGACCTTTGGCAGCGCGAGCGGGCAGGGCGCCGCGCTGGCGCTGGGCGGGTCGCCCTCGCCGCCTGGCGCGGGCCGCGCGCCAGCGCTGCGCCCGCGCTCGCCGGCGCGCAGCTTCCCCACGCAGGCGCCGTCCCCTGCCAGCCCCGGCCCTGCCACGGCGGCGCCGGCGGCGGCAGAGCCGAATGCTGAGGGCGCGCGCGCGCGCGTCGCGGCGGTGGCGGGGGGCGAGCCGATGGCCGGCGCGCGCGTGGGCCGCGGGCGGCTGGACTTTGCGCTGCAGGAGTCCACGCTGTCCAGCCAGTACCTGTCGGCACTGTCGGCGCACTTCATCTACTGGGCTAGCCCCGATGTGGCGCAGTTCGTGCTGCGCGCCACGCACGGCGCGGACGTGCTGACGGGCGAGGCCGGGGAGGGCCGGGGCGGCGGGGCGCCGGGGTCCGTCCGTCTGGTGCCCCGGGCCAGCCCCGCGATTTAGGGATGTGGCTGGGGCGGTGGCGCCCCGTGAATGAATGTGAAAGATTAAACTTCTTTTCAGAATGCAGCAGTTGGTGTGCTCCCTGGTGCTGGGCCGCAGAGAATGTACACGATAGATACAAAGAATTGAGAGGGTGAAGGGATTCTTCAGGGTATGTGGGATTCAAAGCACAGGGGGTTGAGCGTTGAGGCGAATAGCCATGCTGTGTTTGGTGCAACGCACGGCGGTAGGTGACAGGGTTGTAGGAGCGAGTGCCGATGGGCGCTCACAACACAACCAGCGGCTCAGGACTCTGCGCCAGGCCCCCTTTTTGCACCCAGGGGCCCCGCCGGCGCGGCGTATCGCCAACTCAGCGTGGCCAGCCTGGAGGCCATGAGTGCGGCCAGCGCCCACCACACCCCCAGCAGCCCCGCCTCCAAGTGCCCGCTCAGCTCCAGCCCTGCCACGGTGCACAGTGCAGACAGGACCATGGCCTGGGCCAGAAAATCGAAGTCGGAGGCGCCTGCCAGCACGCCGTCCAGGACGTAGACCGCGCCATTCAGCGGCAGCAGGGCCAGGGCCAGGCCCCAGATGGCGTGCACCCCGCTCAGCACGCCCGGATCGGAGGTGAAGGCGGCGGGGAAAGCCGGGCCCAGCGCGGCCAGGGCCAGGGCGAGGACGGCGCTGCCGCCCACGCCGAGTTGGAGCAGGCGGTCCGACACGGCACGCGCGCTCCGCAGGCCGACGCTCCCCCCCGCCCCCAGGTGCGAGGCCACCAGGGTCTGCCCCGCCACCGCCAGCGCATCGGTGAGGAAGCTGTCCAGCAGCCAGACCTGGAGCACGATGTGGTGCGCGGCGGCGGGGGCGGCGCCCAGCCGCGCCGCGGCGGCCGCCGCCGCTGTCTTGCTGCCCAGGAGCAGCGCCGTGCGCGTCAGCAGCGACGCGCCGGCGGGGAGCAGCTCCTGGGGGGGGGGCGTGCCGTTGGGGCCCGCGGAGGGCGGGGGCGCCAGCAGCAGGCGAGGGGCCAGGTCGCCTAACATACCCCGCCGGCCGTGCAGTACCGTGAGGTACGCCACCGCCGACGCCGCCTCGGCCGCGGCTGTGGCCAGCGCGGCGCCTTTCACTCCCCAGCCCAGGTGCAGGACCAAGAGCCAGCCCAGGCCCTGCAATGAGGTGTGGGGGGAAGGTTTGCGGATCTGGCGATTAACACGTATGCACCATCCGCGCGGCTTGCTTCCTCAGGCACTGATTCAGACAGCACCCCCTACACATAGGCATTCCTCCCTATTCCCTGAAACACTCCAAGGGCCTTCCTCATTTCACTCGCACCAGGTTGAGTGCGTTGGCGCCCGCGGTGACGTACAGCGGCGTCCGCATGTCCCGCATGCCGTACAGCGCCCCCTGCGCCACGCTTTCCAGGAGTACTGCCGGGGCGGCCAGCGCGCGAACGGTCAGGTAGTCCCGCGACTGGAGGAAGAGGTCGCCGGCCTCGGGCGCGACGCCCATGACGCCCAGCGCCGCATCAGAGCCGGCGGTGAGGGCCAGGGCCAGGCCCAAGCCCAGCACGACGGCCAGCGCCAGGCCCTGCAGCACCGTGCGCCCTGCCTTGGAGAGTGGGATCGGGGGAGCAGGTGCCTTGGTGTCAGAGGGTGCAGCGGGTGGGAGGGATGGAGTCCCACAGCCCTCCCCATGACCGCCGCACTCAAAGCCCATCACCTGCTCGCCGTTGCCGGCCTGCAGCGCGGTGGCCACCAGCGGGGTGGTGGCGGTGGCCAGGAAGTTGAACAGGGAGAAGCAGAGGGCGAAGAGGGAGGTGTTGATGCCCAGCGCGGCCAGTGGGGTGGGCCCGGTCTGGCCCACAAACACGGAGGTGGCCATGGACAGCATGGGGTCCGCCACCAGTGTCAGCAGGGCGGGAAGCGTCAGCTCCAGGATGGCGGGGTCGTTGGGGTTCAACAGCCAGCCGGGGAGGCTAGGCCGCGACGAGGGGGTTGGGGGTCTCGTAGGCCCGTGCCCCGTGCCTGCCAGCGGGGCCTCCGGGTCCCCACCATTCTTGTGAGCATCGTGCACACCGGGACCGGTGCCATTCATGTCACGCTTGGTTTCCAAGGCCGGCAGATCCGCGTCCACTCTTGTGGGCCGGGCCCCGGCTCGGGCGCGCACCACACGCCGCGGAGCGCTGGGATGCAGGCAGCTCCGACTCGAAGGGCCAGGTGTTGGTACACATGGTCTACAGGATGCAACGTGCATCCACGGACAGGCAGAGTGCGAGCTCCCGTTTGCCGATTCAAGAAGGACGGGGGAGGGACGAGCGCGCTGCCACAAGGGTTGCAAGGTCAGGTGCAAGGCCGAGACAGAGCGATCCGGGTGACGCTTTGAGTCAGTAATGTACAGCTGTATCAAGTAATGGTGCAGACTAGGCGGACGGGGGACAGGAACGGTGCATGCAGCAGCAGCCGCGCACGTGGCCTTCGGGTACAATGAATTCAGAGGGCATCTGTTCGAGTCACAAGACTGCTTGTACGCCGCTGCGATCCCTCCCACAATCCCAGAATTTCAATTATTACCCAAAGATGGGTGATTCAGTCACAGGGTGGGAGGATGGGCCCCATCGAGCTTGCACGCAGTTTCCATGAAGCTTTCACCTCCGCGCGCGCCCCAGTAAGTCACCAACGATCAGCAACGCGTACGCTGATCGACTTGGCAGGAGCTCACCCCTTGTGGCATTTCATAAGAATTACACTCTGAGCTGGTGTCGAGGGAATGCCGTCGCGGGTGGGACGGCGGGGGAGGCTGGTCCGTCTCCTTCTGAATTTGCAAGCCCTGTACACCATCGTGGGAGCCTGGATCAGCGACAACATTGTCGGACCCTGGACCAGCCTGTGGGAGGAGATCACCAAGGTACGGATGTGGGGCGCTGTTCGATGGGCCAGGCTTGCGCCTGCGTGCCAGACCACTTCACGCGGACCCTGTCGACCCACATGCCCAACTCCGCAGGCTGTCGTCCGGGGCTGGATCATCACATGGCAGAGGTGGCTGAATGCCTGGTCGGGCATCTTACTGGCCCTCTTCCCCGGGGCGAGGAGGGAGGTCCGGGGCCGGCCGCGGGCCCACTCTGAGGCCTGGGGCGCCTGGCTCAAAGGTGGGTGTGACTCGGGCGTTTTGGGGGAGTTGGGGAGGGAATGCGCACTGTTGGTGGTAGAGAGGGCATCCGATGCAGCAGCACTGGATGCACCCCGGCCGTCGCCTCCCAATAGGTGTGCCGACGGCATCGCCCAGTTGCTGCCACTCCCACCCCCCCCCCCCCCACCTCCCAGGTGCCACGGGGACGTTCAATGCCCTGCTGGAGCAGGAGGGCCTGACCGAGCCTGTCGCCCCCGCCGACGGCCCCGCCCCCGCCCCGCCGGCGCCGTACGCGTCGGCGCAGCGCGCCCGGCGCCGCTGGATCCGGCGCTGGCTGGGCGATTGGGGCCCCGAGCGGGGGGCCGACGGTCCCGCCGCGCCGCCCACCCGCCCCCCCTCCGCCCCTCCCGCCGCCGCGCGGCACCCCTCCACCCTGGCCCGGGGCTCGGTCCTCTTCGACCTGCCCTCCGGCTACGCGGTGGCCTCCACCGTGCCGCGCCGTGGCCTCGTGGATGACCTGCGCGTGCAGAGCGAGGCCGCAGTCGGCCGGATCTTCGGCGCCGTGCGCGCCGGCGCGGCGCGGCTCCTGGCCCCCGGCCGCCCGCCGGCCGCCGGCCGGGGGCGCAACCCAGCCCTGCGGCGCGACTCGGGCGCCGGGGGCCTTTTCCAGCCGCTGCCCACCGGCGCCTTTGCCGCCAAGTGGGAGGACGGCCACGTCTGGACCGCCTCCGACTTTGTCCTGCGCGCGGGGTACCCTCTGGAGGAGCACACCGTGACCACGTCGGATGGCTACATCCTCACCATGCACCGCATCCCACGCACAGGTTGATAAGAAAGGGAGGGTTGATGGGGGCGGGGTGGGGAAGCGTGTGGGGGTTGAGGGCAGCCACGAGAGTCCAGCACCTGTACCTGGGGAGTTGCCAGTCTCGCATACCCGCAAAAAACACCTCCCCATCCCCACAACCACAGACCACTACCCCTCCTCCCCTCCCCTACAGGTGGAAAGGAAGTCACGCTCTTCCAGCACGGCGTTCTGGACACCTCGCTGGGCTGGGTGGCCAACGGTTCGGTGGGCAGCCAGGCCTTTGCGGCCTACGACGCCGGCTTCGACGTCTGGCTGGGCAACTCGCGCAGCAACGCGCCGCGCATGCACGCCGACCGCGCATGCCAGGGCCTGCGGTACTGGCACTACAGCGCCAACGAGCAGGCCATGGGCGACGTCGGGGCGCAGGTGGAGCACATCCACGCCGTCAAGATGGCGGAGCTGGGCGGGAGCAACGGCGGTGGCAACGAGAGGGAGCGCGGCGGGGCGGCGGGGGAGGGGACTGCAACCTCACACGCAGCAGGGCGATTCCGCGAGGACGCACCGGCGACACGCTCCAGCAGCCGTCGGAGGAGGACATCCGGCTCCAATGGGGTGGCGCCACGGCGGGCGCCCTCGGCCGACGAGCTTCAAGGGGATGATGAGGGCGAGAGTCGACAGCCAGCGCCGCCGGCGCGGGACGACGCCACCCCGCTTCCGACCACCCACTGCAAGGGCCTGAGTTTCAGGATCCCCGAGGAGCGCCGCGACCCCGCCCCCGAGCACCTGCCCTACAATCTTCAGGGCGTGGGGCACTCCCTGGGCGCGGCCTGCCTGCTCATGTACGTCACGGTGTGCCGCATGCAGGGCCGGCCACATCGCCTGCGGCGCCTGGTGCTCATGAGCCCCGCCGGCTTCCACTCCCACGTGCCCAGGGTGAGCGGGGGCCTGGTGGTGGGGGGATGATTGAGGAGGGGAGGGACTCGTGAGGCTGGGAGGAGTGTTCACCAGGGATTTGGGATGATGGGATGTCGGCGGTGTGGAGGGGCCCTGGTGAGGGGGCCTAGGCCGGGGCTTGCAATGGTCCAGCCACGGATTGCCCAATCAACAGCTTCTTCCCGAACAAACCGTTGCCTGTGGGCCCCTGGCCGCGCCAGGCACTCAATTTTCAGTGCTGCCACGCCAGGCCACGGCCATTCATGTACACACCGCCCGGCGACCAGGCCCCCCCCCCCACCCCCCCCCCGGACCGGCATACCAGGCATCATCCCCCCTCACAACATGCGCAGACCATCGCGGCATGCAAGTGGCTCATGCCCTGGGCCGCGCGGCTGATGGACCTGGTGCTGCCCGGGCGCGGCCTGGGCCTGCGCCTGCCCAGCCCCTTCCTGCGCTACGTCACCTTCAAGCTGACGCTCGACCTGAGCGAGCTCCCCGCCCTGCAGTCCCTGGTGCGGCGCAGCATGCAAGCCCTCATGTCCGGCGACGGCAGCGAGTGGGACCTGGCCATGCAGATGCCGCACTACAACTCCACCTCCATGCCCGCCGTCAGCCTGCACACGGGAGCCCACTTTGGGCAGTGGGCGCGCGACCCCGCCTTCCGCCTCTTCGACCACGGCTCGGCCGCCGCCAACCGCGCCGTCTACGCCGCGCCGCGCCCGCCCAGCATCGCGCACAACTACCGCCTCCTGGACGTGCCCGTGGACTTGGTGGCCGGCACCTCCGACCGCGTCGTCGGCGTGGAGGACGTCAAGGTCAGGGGCCGGGGTGGGGAGGAGGGGGGAGGCCTTCGAGAGGGGTGGGGGGGCTGTCCAGCGGAAGAGGGCGTCCCACAGGCCCCCTTGTGGGGGAACAGTACGATGCTTCACCTCAAACCACATCTGGCTCAGCTCCAGAGATCGTCTGGCGAGGGGTGTGCGCCCCCAGTATCAACAGGTTGAGGGACACCACATCCTCGCTTGGCCATGCATGCCGCCTCTTCTCCTGCCATACCTAACAGCTCACCCCACCCACCCACCACTCTTGCCCGCCCTCCGACCCCACAGATGCACGCCAGGTGGCTGGCGCGCTCGGGGCAGCCCATCCACCTGCGCGAGTTTGATGTCGGCCACATGGACCTGACCTTTGCAGTGAAGCCGGAGCTGAGGGACCATGTGCTGCGCCGCCTGCTGCGCCCGCTGTGACGAGGATGCGAGTGCTGAAGGATGGTGAGTCACGAGGAGTGGGCGGCGTGGTGGCGGGACCGGTGTGTCCCATGGCGCCGCCTCCTGCACCATGCCCTGGTGGCTCTGTGCAGCTCGCCAGAGCCCACACAGCGCTCAGAGGCATGCACATCTGGGTCCAGAACACCTGCTGGCAACTTCCTGCTTTCCTCCATTCGCTCGTTCTGCCCCCCGGAATCCTTTGAAACCCAGCCGTTGTATCTATTCTTGCTGATCACTGCCCGCTGATGCCTCTGGCCCGCCACCGTCACCAAACTGGAACCGACTGGAAAGTCCTTGTTGACAGGCTGTAGAGGTGAGAGGCACAGAGGTCACCCAAGCTTGGGACAGTGCCGCCTCGAGGTCCTTCCCGGTTGGGTTCACGCTCCGAGCACCGCCCCCGAACGCCCCCTCCTAAACACACACACACACCGCATCACTCATGTGGAGGCGTTGAGCGCGGCCCGGACCTCCGCTGCCACCGCATCGGCCGACTGGTCGCCCTTGATGTTCACCACCCGGCTGCGGTAGTGCTCGATCACGGGCGCGGTCTGCTTGCGGAAGGCCTCCAGCCGCGCCTTGAGCGTCTCCGCGTTGTCGTCCTTTCGTCGGATCAGGGGCTCGCCGGTCACGTCGTCCACGCCCTCCTTGCGCGGGGGCGCAAACTTGGTGTGGTAGGAGCGGCCGGAGGCGGGGTGCACCAGCCGCCCGGTCACGCGCTCCACCAGGAGGCTGTCGGGCACGTTGAAGTTGAGCACGCGGTCAATCGCGGCGCCCTTGCTGGAGAGCATGGAGTCCAGCTTCTCGGCCTGTAGGAAGGGGAATAGTTGGGTGGGGTGGTGGAGTGGTTGGAAGAGGAGGAGGGATTCCCGAAGTGCCTCACTAGGCAGCAGCACGTGGCGTCGTGGCATACGATTCAAGTGCACTGCAGCATCGGGGACCCCCCTAACCCTTCTCTCCATGACGCAAACCCCTCACCTGAGTAACCGTGCGGGGGAAGCCATCAAGCACGAAGCCGACGCGGCACTCCGGGGACTTGATGTTCTCCTCGATCAGGCCGACCACGATGTCGTCGCTGACCAGGGCCCCAGACTCCATGGCCTTCTTCGCTTCCAGGCCCAGGGGGGTCTTGGCGGCAACGGCGGCGCGCAGCATGTCACCGGTGGCCAGGTGGCACAGGCAGTTCTCGTTCTTGATGGCGGGGGACTGGGTGCCCTTGCCGCAGCCGGGAGGCCCTGGGGATGTGTATGGGAGGGGGGTGAAAATGGAAATTTGGTGCACAGGGCCCCCCCCCTGGCCAGGCAGCCGGATGGGATCTTGGGCCCCCGCGATCCCACCATGCATCCACCCACCTATGAGGATGAGGCGCTTCTCGGGCTTGTTCAGGCACTCTATCCGACGCTGCACCTCATGGATGAGCTGCTCGGTGGTCACCTCGGCGAGGTCGACGGAGGGTGCCATGGTGTACCAGTGGTGCCCGAGCAGGGGTTGCTGCGAGGTCGTACGATGTCAGGCACGATAGGTTTCGGTACTTGCGTATGCTGGCACATTCATGCGCGCTCGAGCGTGGGGAGCAAGCACGGTTACTACCGATTCATGACTCAGCGTCGGTGGGCTTGATGACGTGGCGTTTGGGGAACCCTTTGCAACACCTTCCAGGAAATGGGTTGGCAACGAAATACGACAATGGCGCGGTCAATTCATGACATAGAAGTGCTTGGTATGAAGGTGCACCCATCGTGTTTGGCAAAGACGGTCCGTTGAACATTATGCATGGCAATCTTGCATTGTGGGAGGTGGGATTCCAGTGATACACGCCTGGCCTCGAGCATGCACATAATTATGGATATTCTACAGTATCCCAGATGTGAGCTTTAGAGGCGTGTACGAGACACAGTATGCTCTGTGCATTGTCGATGAAATGTAGGTATCTGTAGACATGCCAAAGGAAAACAGGTGGTGTAGGACACTGGCCTGAGACCAGTGCAGAGGTGCAAGGCAGAGCCTACCCCAGATGCGGGGCTGTGAACCTGCTGCGTTGATCTCCCCCAATGTGATGTGTAATACACGTTCTCAGCCAGCACACGCTGCATCCCTCACCCGCTTTTCCGCAGGGACTCGACTGCGAAACAGGCAGGGACCGGAGTCTTCTAGTTTATTGAGTGCATTCCGTGGCCAAAAATGCAAAAGCTAGTTTTCATACGAAGCGAACGCTCTACCACTAAGCTAAACAGGCTGGTATCAGGGTGAGTGCCTGATGTGTGGATCGAACACACGACCTTTCGCTGAATCGTACTCTGTCGGGAGACAGACCGCTGACCGATTGCGAGTAAAATTGGTGTTATATCACCGAGCCCAGGGGCTGGGAATGCGAGGAGATTATTGCTCACCCTGACGGTCTTTGTTGACATAGGAATGGTGTATACATGGTATCGCTGCAGCGTCGGGTGGCCGGGTGAAATGTGTAGTGCGAGAGGATCACAATGGCAGCGTGGGGATTGCTTCAGAGAGCGGGTGGAGCGTTCAACGCCGCCTCTCTGCCTTTCAATATCGGAATAACCGATGCATAACTCTATGACTCCTCCCATGGGACCGAGTTATCGCCTTGTTACGTATTAAGATAGCTGCAATGTGTGAAACTTGCCTGCAAATGCCGCGGTGGCGGCTTCCCCCTTTGGAATCCAGGGTGCGATGTAAACTGTGCGGTGATGGCAGATGCTTTCAGGAGTCTGCAATAGAGGGAATCAGCACACAGCCCGGCAGCAGATGGCAATGACGGAGCTGGTTGGGGGACTGTGCATGTCATGAAGTTCAGTCTCCAATTTCCGGCCACCAAGACGACTCGCTGGGATGAGGTGATGTCTCCTGTATGAGACAATTGGAAATGGGGGAGCACCCATGGCAACAATCGTGCCTGCTTTGGCTGGCCCACGAGGGCTAGTTGGGCTTGACAGAGAGAATACCTGCTATGAAATGAGGAGGCAGGCAGCTTCACTCCCATCTTTCCTCCATACCACAAGAGTGGTACAAACATACCACCGCCGGTCATTGGTGTCCTCGGCGAGGGCATGACCATGCAGCCAAGTGCCAAAAATGCAAGCTAACAGCCACACGCTCTACCGGCTGAGCTATAGCGGAAGGTTGCGGATGACTCCGCCAGACAGGCTCGAACTGCCGACCTTGTGGTGTGCTGATAAAATCGTTGCCAATGGAGCTGTGACAGCCCATACTTGAAGCTCGAGACCCGGCTGTCCTGACGTATGTTCGACCCTTTGGTTGTGCGTTTGCTCGAGCACTTGGTTGTGGGTCTGGCTGCTGTTTTATAAGCGGGCGGATCACAGCAAGCAAGCCGTCCCACTTGCTCGAGGGTTTGGTCCCATGGAACAGAACTTCTGCCAATGCTTCATGAGATGCCAATAGAGCTCAGCCCGTACCATGCCCCGGGACTCAAATCAGGCATGATTTTCATATCCAACTTCACATCAAGCCATCTTGAGTCGGAGGGCTGTACCTCCTGATTTTCTTATGCCTGGTCGTCGTTTTCTGAGCCACTCTCCCAGAAATGTGGCGGCCTTCTCTGCCTTGGTCACGATCGCATGATGCGCTGCTCCTCTGCACTTATTCAATACAAGAGGGGCCTTTCTGGCAGAGGAGGCTCCACAGGGATGAAACTCGGTACCCATTGGATAATGCTGTTTCGAGAGCTTGCCAGGCAGGTACCCCACACCAGCGACGCGGCATATCCCGCAAGGATTTTGGATATTCGAGCATATAGGTGTACGCAAGAGGATCTTACCTCCTGACTTTGATTGGTTTAAGCGGCAGGAACATTTGCTCTTTTGAATTTTTTTGGATTCTTAAACACAGCCTAATAGGTCGCGGGCATCCTCGCCATCCGAATTTGATCGGTATGTGCCTCTTGGGGGGACGGCGGAGGTGGTAAGGTGCATCCCGTTCGGGTTCCGCTTGGACTGGCCATAGCATCGGCGAGGTACTCTGTGATCAGGAAATCACAATCATATCTGGTCCGAACAATAACATTTACTCGTGCAGAAAGAGAAGAAGATGGGGTCGGATTGAATTGATGTAGACCTGGTCGTCGGACGTGACATTGCCCGATACCGACTCGGATCTAAGACACGATAAACAGCCCGAACCTCACACGCATGCATCTATCAGCCTAAATAGTTCAGTGCCGTGGCTCATATGCTGACACTCTGCCCATCATGAGGGGCAAGATGAGGTTGGCATCATGTCACGAGGCAACGGGACCCTCCACCGGTTCATGCTCTGAGGGTGTCTCAAGTCAACACATTTTCGGGTTCTTATTCTCAAGATGTTGCGTCTTTGGTATTGGAGGGCGCGAACCTCTGGAGCAGAGCCCTGTTTGTCAGCAGACTCCTGCCCAAGCCATGATTCAAGGGTAGCAGGGGTCGCCAGACGGATGTGTCGCCCTGGCAGTCACACCAGCATCCAGTCTCCCAGTGACAAGCACACTGTCTGGTGAACTTCAGTTGGAGCAAGGAACCTCGTGCACATCTCGCACCATTCCCATGCCTCGTGAGCGTCGCTCATAGTCCGGCGAAAAAAAAGATTTCCATCAAGCGGTTTCACACCTGGAATAGCCTGAGGTCGCCAGATCGAGACTGGCAGGGGGCATCCGCTACCGGGCCAGGTTAACCTTGGCAAGCCTCCTTAGCTCAGTTGGAAGTAGCGTAGGTTTCATAGATAAATACCAGAAGGCACCGCTCTTTTTGCGCTTTTATGGTTGTACCGTCGAGGCATGGCCGCCGTCATGTCAGGCCGGCTCCCACCCGATCCTGCGCGCCGCGCCCAGCAAATCCTCTTGTTCCAGGCACTCTCACATCTGTATGTGAACCCTAGTTTCTGACGCGCTCACCAACAGGGTACAGCAGCGACACGGGTGTGCTCCCTGCCACGCACCCTCCCTCCTCGGTCAACCGCACAGGATACCGCGCCCCGTCCCCGGCCGCCACCGTAGTCGGGCGGCGAGCCGTGCCCAGAGCCCCCTCGCGGCCCGGCCCGCCAGCCGCGCCCAGGCCCTCACGGCCCGGGCGCCGTCCCACAGCGCGTCCCACCAGAGCCAAGGCCACTCCCCCGGGTGCAGCACGCGGAAGGCGGCGTTGACCAGGCGCCGCGCGCGCCGCCCGCGCGGGAACAGCGCGTCCAGCGCGCGGAAGGCGGCGCGGTTGACGGCGCGCGAGGCGTAGCGCGGCCCGCCCGGCTGCGTCAGCGCGTAGAGCTCGGCCTGGAGCCGGATGCGGGTGGAGGTGCGCAGCGCGCCCAGCAGGCCCGTGCCACCCAGCGCGCGCAGCGCGGCCAGGAAGGCCAGCACGCCCGGCTCGGCGGTCACCTCGCGGGCCAGCGCCTCCACCGCCCGGTCCAGCGCAAAGTCCACGCCCTCGCGCCGCCCGCCGTCACGCCCGGGGTCGCGGGGGGGTGGGCGCCCCGCCGACACCGCCGATGGCGCCGGGAACGAGTCAAGGAAGGTCACATAGTCCTGGGTGGCGGGGAATGGTGGGGCGCCACCAATAACAGCGCCGACCACCGCGCAGGTGCTTGCATCGGCACCGATCCAAGATCCCTTATACAAACGATCCATCTCCATACTCAAAACCCGCCCCTCCCCCCCCAAGCGCTCACCCCCGAGGGCCCCAGGTAGTAGGGCGCGAAGGAGGCGGCCAGGGCCATCACCGCCTCCCGCCCGGTCTCGGGGAGGGCGGCCAGGCGCGCGCCACCGGGCGACAGCACCACACGCTCGGCCAGGAAGCTGAACATGGGCGCGAAGGCGGCGCTCCCCGTCTCGGCGTCCCCCACGAACAGCTGGCGCGCGCCGGAGACCAGGACGTTGAGGTACTTGAGGCGCTGGTCCGCGCCGCCCGCGCCGGGGTGCACCAGCAGCCACTGGTGCAGGAGCAGGGCAAAGGTGGGGGTGGTGAAGGGCTGGCCCCACAGCCGGCGGCAGGCGGAAAGCAGCGCCTCGCTCGCACCCTCGTCGGCGCAGAAGTAGGGGGCCAGCACCTCGTACCACCGGGTGTACAGCGTGCCCGTGCTGCCTGCAGGTTTTTGAGATTGGGAAGGGGAAGATGGCGAAGGAGGAAACGGAGTGGATGACGTCAGACACCGCTGCGTGAAGAGTGGATGCGGCTCCCT